TTGACCATTGATTGCTTATAATCCAATGGCCAAGAATCTATCTTTTCATTTCCCTAATTCTTTCTATCTCCACATCTCTCATCATCTCTCCACGTCTCAAACACACACACACACACAGATAGGAATAATTCTTCTCATCTCTCCACGGTATCAACACAAACACAAACACACATATACCATTCATATGAAAAATACATGTCCTTTCTCTATATCATTCGCTTCATCTCTCCTCACACACACACACGGATCTGAAAGTGGATCACACACACATACATGTTCCATTCTCCACCGTCCTCTCTCACCACCACCGGTCACCTGTCTCTCTCTCTCTTTCGCTCTCTCTCTCTCTCTATTTTAAATCTGACTTTTTGTTCTTGTTAAAAGTAGTGGATTGTTGTTAGCAGATGTGGTGGTCATTGGGTTTAAGGCTCGGAGGAGATGGAGAAGCTGGTGGTCATGAGCAGACTTTGTCATGGCTTGCAGCGAAGAGGTGACAGAAAAGCTGGTGGTCGCGAGCAGAGTGGTGGTCATGGGCTGCGGTGGCGGAGACTAAACTTCGTCTTGGTTTTGAGATGAGATGGCGATGGAGGTCACGAGACAACGACTGATGGCTTGGCTTAGTTTGTCGTTGATGGACTTGAGGAGAAGCTGAAGGTGGCGTGATTTTGCAATTAGGTTTAGTTAGTGAGTAGGATTAGGTTAAAGCTTGGTTAGGTTTTTGATTTATTTGGTTTAATATCTTTCTAGACTAATTAGATCTATTTTTAATTTGTAAATCATACTTTTGTAAACCAGTTCAATTATAAATCATTTTTTTTAAATTATGTTGTTACTTTATATAATTAACTAAAAATAAATAATTTAAATGTAAAAATAACAAAAATAAAACAGAAATCAATATCAGAAATCAAATGCTATGTTTAAAAAATATATATAACAAAACGGAAATCGCTATCTAATTAAAATATATTGTAGCAGAAATAAAAAGTGCTATCTAAAGTGATAGACCTATTATCGCGGCCGATGATACAGCGTACCTAATACCGCTATGGTAGCGTTAGATAGCGTTTTCTCGACGTAATTAATACTCTATTTTCTTGTAGTGTGTATATGTTTAGTTAGCCACATATATTAAACTATATACGGTTATTGATAAAGTTATCCAGTAAACCGAATACCTTGGATATGCCTTTGTAGATAGAGGGGTGCTTGTCAGATACGAAAACCAATCCTGCTTCGTTCAACACAAATTGAGAATGGTTTTGAAAAAAACCACTCCCATGAGTTGTCGTTCTCGCTATCAACAATGGCAAAGGCTAATGGGAATATTTGATAGTTACCATCCTATGCTGAAGCTGTTAGCAAACAACCAGCATATTTCCCCTTTAAATGGGTACCGTCAATGATAACCACTTTCCTCATAGCTTTATAACCTCCAATACAAGCTCCAAGAGCCAGAAACATGTATTTGAATCGGTTTCCTCCTTGCTCCATCGGCTCCGTGTGCAAGTTAGCCAAAGAACCTAGATTCGCTAAGTCAAGGTTGTTAAGATATGCAGGCAACTGAATGTAGGAGGCATTGCAAGTTCCCTGGCCATTATCCATTGCCTTTTCCCTTGACTTCCATGCCTTCCAGTATGAGATAGAGACATCATGGTCACCCCTCATCATCAATCGGATCTCTGTTGGTTTCGGTCCCATTTCGTTGCCAGCAAATTTTGTTTTCATCAACTCCCCGATAACAGCAGCAGTTGCTTGGTGCTGGTACCCACCACGGTCAGCAATAGAACAGTTATGGACGCTGACAACTCTCCTCACCTCAAACACTTCAGAATCCTTCATATTTTATTGCGTACACTCGCCATGGACAAGATGCGCCAATGCATTGCAATACCATCATCGCTGGGTCCGACTTTGTGCATCTGAAACAAAACTTCTGCGCAATTGCAAACATTGCTACATGATGCTTGAATACCTCACGGTTCCTGAACATCATTCCAACTTTTAAGTCTTCTCCAAACACATACGTTTCAGCCCCTGTTGGAAAAACATAAATAAACTTTTTTACACCATGGTAACCAGTTTAAGGCAACATTTCACAAACTATGCATTTTGTATAGTTATACAATAGTCATGATAGTCATGATAGTATAACCGGTAAAGAATATTTTGAACTTAGCAATTCACAAACTATAACCTGGTAACCAAAATTTTTCTCTCCCATATGCAACACTATAATATATAGTCCTCAACCAAAGTCATACTAAATAATCGGCTAATATGATTAAACCCCTCAGACCAACTTGCTACTGTGTAACATAAGCAAATAATATAGGCTACTTGGTTAACAAGTCATCTTACAACACACCTTGTTCATAGTATACAATTTTATCAACTCATTTCGTTTAGCCGGTTACGAATATAATTGCCTTCTTTGAATATCTTACCCAGCCAAGTACAATAAAACCGTTTAGCCGGCTATGCATATTACTGACCCTCTTTTTGTTTTGATGAGTCAACAAACATTAGATAACATCATATTGAACAGTCACATTAGATAAGTGTTACCAAACCGTATTCTGTACAAATATCAGCTAATATAAACATGCAGCATATCCATCATTTTTCTTACATCAGAAAAACATCGAACCCCTACATAGCGACTGTTAATACCACAAACTTGCGCAAGAGAAATTCAAAAAAAACACACGAAAATACCTAGAGTTTGTCTCGGTTACGTACAAGTTTAACCCTCACAAAAACAATCCACTTGGGGTTAAACTTTGTTGTAACCGACCATTAGCCGCACCATACCCTTAATACGCCAAAAGAGAATAAACCTACTACCATATTAAACATTTCATTTCAAAGCACTTCCATTCAAGACCCACCGTCGTTGTCGCTGCCCTCCGACGATGTATTTCCCGACTTATGAGCTGCATCTGTCTGACAATCAGTTGCTGCTGAACCTCCTCCTACAGTCACATTAACTGTGACAGCTGGCATGCTGTTGTTGCATCCGTCATAAGCCTCCACATCAATTACTTCCGTGACTGAAAAAAGATAGAAAAAATTAGTCACCTAAAACAACATAAATTTTACAAAATCATCAAATATGTAAATAGCTATATAAATACCCTCACCTCCCTTATCATTGCTGGGAACCTCCTTCTCTTTGGTCGTAACCTCTGCTCCAACCGGAGGGCGGCCGATGACATTGGAAGATGATGAGGATTCGTCTCCATTTCCTACCTTCCTTATCTCCTCTAAAGCCAACCCCACACGGATTTCATTATGACTGGCAATGTACATTACTTCCTCATCATCCTCAAGATTTGCTTGAATGACAGCTTCCCAAAATGCAGCATCCTCAGCTAGCTTACGACGGCCCATTTCGGTGTTATACATCTCTGGATAGTTGACCAAGTCAACCCCAACATCCCAAAGAACATATGGTGCATTTGTAGCAGGGGTGGGAGGCACTTGTTGAGACTCGAAAGGAACCATTGTCCCTGTACAGCACAACCCCACAAAAATTAGAAACAAAAAAATACTAAATCCCTGGCCAAGAAACTTTTGGTACTTGTTTGTTACACACCTCCGTTTTCGGCCAGAGTACCTTCAGAAGGCCCCACGTTGTGAGTGACATCAGCCATCTCGGCATCATCAACAAGCTGAATGATCTCCATTCGTCGGACCACACCATCATCGGTTCCACGTCCTAGAATCCTATCAGCATAAGCCATCTCAAGGGCAACACAGTGGAGGATTGCCATCTCCTCCTCCCCAAATACCTCTCTCATAACACTTTCGCTCACCACCAGTCTCTGTCCCAGCACCAATCCTGTAATAAAAACTAATGAGTTAGGTGCTCATCCAAAAATACATAATACTTTAATGTCTTAGACATTTAAACACATTGAAAAATACTTACTCTCATATCTTGCTCTTGTTCTCTCATCTTGACCTTCTCCCACTACATAGGTTGAGGCTCCTATGGTGAAATCAGAGCGACAGAGAAAGTGAAACTCTGCCACGCTTTTGGCTCCGAAAGTACAGAGTAGAGTTATGTAACTTAGTGGTGGCCTCTCCATCAACAAACTTACCAAGTCTTCTGTCGTAGCGATCCTTCTCGGCGAGGAAGGTCCATTTGGCAAGAGCATCCAGTTAGGCATCCCGTAGGTTAAGACAACCGGAGTCTCGGGACGGAGCATGTACCATTACCTGACGGTAGCATCAATCACCGGAAATGTCTTAGGGGAATCCATGTACATCGTAAAGCCGAAATCATCATGGTTTGGGACAAAGTACCACTTCTCTTGAATGTTCTTTTTCCACTCACCATGCCAGATTCTGAAAACACGACCCCTTCATGTCCAAGAAAGTTAAGTTTCAATCACTTTAATAGATGCAATGATTGGAAACATGGAGTTAATGCTACGGCACATTAATAAACTTCGAACATAACAATATGGATTTAACAAAATTTTACACTATTCTCTACATTTAAAGCAACTAAAGAATGTTCTTCACTTTTTTCACTTTGTTTCTCGAACATATCTCCCTCACAGAATTAGCCCCTCACGGTACTCACGTTTCTTTCTGGACAAACCTCAAACCGTCTAACTGTAACTTATAAAGGCAGAGAGAAGATGTGTAAGCGGTGTGCTTTTCTGATTATTCTTAAAATAAAAAATTAATTAGGAAATCTTCGGTCAGATTTTGTTAACAGTGGTGCCGTTTGCGTCAGAGATTTTTTGCGGGGGATAAAATTTCGATCTTACCGATGCACCTTACGCTAATGTACACCAAATCTTCTTCTTATTTTGCCAAATCTTTCAGATGATTTTCTCTCGGAAGCTGTGAGAAGAAGGTCAACTCGGGTAGCGAAGAAATCATCCAGACATGGTGTTTTCGTCTTTTCAAACTCGCCTAATACACCACGTAAGCACTGATTTCTCCTTCTTTGGTATTTAGCTAATTATGCAATCTTCTTTGGTTTTTAAGCTAAATTGCTCTTTATTTATTTCATTATTAACGTTTTTTTATTAATTCAGGATACCTAGGCATCTACAAGAAGCCGGTTCAATTTAGGGTAGGGGGGGGCATAAAGCAGAGAAAATCATTAGTTCGCAAGCAGCAAATGATGATGTAACCAATTCCTCATGACGGCAAAGGCTTCCTCCGCGTCTCTATCATCTTCAGGTGTCTCAGGCCTGTGAACAAAGCCGTGGCCTCTTCCTTGAAACACCACAACCTTTGACCCTTCACCAATCTTCTCCTCAATTTCCTTCAAAGCATCCACTTTGCAAAGCGGGTCTCTGTCACCGGCAATGAATAAGACTGGGACGTTCACGTCTCCAGCAACCGCAGAGTCTATTCTAGTGCCATAGAAAGAAATTCCGGTGCTGAAGTAAGCGTTCTTGTCGGCGGCTAAAACATCCACAACGCGTCCACCACCAAAACAGAATCCTATCACTCCTAGTTTCTTGGATATCCCGGCCGCTGCAAATTCATCTACCATCCATTCCGTCAAGGTTGTTGTGTCTTGTTGGATTCGGTTCGGTTCATGTCCTCCTCTCCATTCCTCGTACTGAGACTCTGGTCGGTTTTTCGACCATGGATCTCCACGGAACAGGTCCGGGACAAGAACACTGTCTCAAAACAAAACAAAAGAACAATAAATTTCAATTTGAAATAGAAAGAGGAAAATGTAGGAGACGGATGGATACTTGTAGCCATTGCAAGCGATGCGATAAGCGAAGTCCCTGGTCGAGGAATCTTGGAAGCCGAAGACATCAGAGAGTAGAAGCAATCCAGTTCCGTTGTTATTCTTTACCGCCGTTAACAGGTGAGCTTCAACACCGTCAATTGACACTTCTGTTCTGTTAACCAGCTCACAAGTTTCTTCTTCTTCTTCGTCATCGTCAACCTCCACGTTAACGGCGCCGTCGAGTGCACAAGGTTTTTTCATAGACCCTCGTGTTCGAGAGCAGCTAGTAATATGTTTACCGATCTGACAAAATATGAGTTTAAACCCAATCAATACTTTAGTGATTTTAATTCTGAGTGAAAATGAAGGAGGTAGCAAAATATCAAGATGCAGAGATGTACGTACAGAGGGAGGGAGAGGTGAAAGGCACGACGGACGCAGACTGTGGCTGTCGTAGCACAGTCTACCGTAGCGGTTTAACTGTGGTTGTGCTCTGGTTTCAATGGAGTAGGAAAGAGATGCCAAGGACGCAGCCATCTTTCCAGGATCAAGGGTCCAGAACTTTTCCTTATAATTTGTTTGGATATTTTGTTGGTGAAATATCTAAGTAACAAGTGGAGGACATTGCGATCAGAATAAATACTAGGATCGGACCTGCAGTTCGTGTGGGTGTATTATTCAATTAGTATATAGATCAATATTTGTGTTATTTGATTGGTAGTATATATTTTTTAATTTTATCTATACTAAAAAGTTGTTTAATATGAAACGCTATTTTATACTCCCTCCGTTCCTAAATGATCCATATTTTAGAAAAAAATTTTGTTTCTAAAAGATTCATATTTTACATTTTCAATGTATGTAATAATGGTAAATTGTAAACTTCAAAAACATTAATTATGTTTACTGAATTTTGATTGGTTAAAAATCATAGGAAATAGCTAAACACATAATATAATGTATTTATTATCAAAAATTTAAGTGTTTTCTTAATAAGTGTGAAAATTCTAAAATATGGATTATTTAGAAACAGAGGGAGTAGTTTATATGGAGTAATTTTATTTTGTGTTTTGAAATGTTAATTTTATTATCCACATTTATTAACGTATATTGATTTTATTGGAATTGTATCTGACTATTAGTTATAGGAACATATTTGTAAAATAATATAGTACATATTAATTTTATATTTATTACTAATAAATAATGAAAAAATATTTTAAGGTAATTTTAAACAATATTTTATGTTAGATTTAGTAAAACAAAATTTAAGAAATAACATTTTCAAATGCCAAAAATTGTTACTCCCTCCGTTTCGAATTATTTGTCATTCTAGATAGAAAATTTTGTTTCAAAATAAGTGTTGTTTTAGAGTTTCGAGGCAAAATTTATTAATTTTATATGATATTCTATTTTTCTATTGGTTAAAAAGTGGTTAGGTGTATATGTAATTGTGTGTTTTATCTTGAAAATATGTAAAATTAAATGTTTTCTTAATATATGTAAAAAAACCTAGAATGACAAGTAAAGTGAAACGGATGGAATATATAAAATATGAGCTTAGGGTTAGTACTTAAAGTTGGATAGAGTGTTTATAGGAATGAGATGTGTGTAAGGTTTCGAGGTTGGAATAATTTAATCATTTTATTATTTAGTGAATGTTGTATTTGTTATTTTATCTTTTGAATGGTATTTATAATAATTTTTTTATTAGTTGCTAAACGACTAATAAAATCATGTACATTAATATTTAAACATTTTTTAAAGCATGATGAAACACATGTTACTAAATTAAAAAAAAATGTATAGTAAGCATAAGTCTATTCGATAAATTATAGTATTTAATGTATATCTTATGACTTTTGTAAAGAATATGTAATTTAATTGGAAACCTGATATTTTCGTTTATATTTTATATTGAAAAAAATATTCGGATTTTCATTCTAGATACATAATTTTAAGAAATTTATTAATAAAAAATATGAAGAATTAAGAATACAGACTAAAACTAAAAAAATTGATATATTTTCCATTTAGGTAGTAGCTAAAATTAGGCACACGTTAAACTGTTTTGTTAATATCATATATTTTATGAATATTATGTTGAGTTAATACAGATTTTGGTATGTATAAAACAAAGTTCATGGTGTGGTAATGATTTAGTCTATAATTTTGTATATAGTATATGATAGTACTGATCAGATATGAAAACACAAAAAAAAAACTGTTTTTAAATAAACCATCACTATTGATCCCAAATACGAAAGCATAAATTAAAGGGAAAATTTGGAAAAATACATTTAGATTAGATAATATTTTGAAAATTACACTATATTTTTATTTGTTTTGAAAACTGTACTACTAAGAAATGAAATGACTTAATTGTGTAATTTTAATGCTTGTACCTAGCTAATATCTGAATTAATAATTTTAATTAATACAGAACATTAAGTGTTTAACCAACAGATCGAATTAATTACATATTTTCAATTAGTGTTCTTAATATCTAAAACAAACTCTTCAACTTATCATCGAAATCAACCATATCTTTGTTTATAGGATTCTGTAATAAACAAAAACAAACAGTTAATGATACAAAAAACGTCTTTGTTCTGATTTAATGATACAAAAAAACGTCTTTGTTCTTTATACGACAAACACACATTAAACAAACCCAGATTAAAACATATGAAAATCAAACAGTGCGTTGATCATTATTTTTCTCTGTTACAATTTTACTACCACCTTGATTAAGATGATGCTGATACTTTGTGAACTTGTGCACATGGAGCACAATCATAGACTCACAGAGGAACTCTTGGGGGAATATTTGACATACTTTTCAATCATGTTTAAAATATATATGAATTGTCTGTTTTTATATCAAGAAGATTCAACAAAGAGATTCAATCCATTTTATATTTCCTGCCATGAAGACACCAAGTAATAACAGTTTGAACAATAGAAATAGCATCAAAGAATCAGGAGAATAATGAAAACCAATATTAGTATGTTAATAATTTTTATAATTATATTTTCAAGTTTAGTATAATTATTTGAATTTTAATTTTTATAATTATAGTTATAGGAAGCAAGTCTGCTCACCTGAGGATGCAGAAGCTATAGACACAGATGTAGAGGAAGAGGTGAACTACTTTGGAGGAACTGGATCTCAGAGGCTAGAAACCAGGTCTAGAAACCAGGTTGGAAACATGAACTTCAGTGGCAATGGTCAGAAAAACAACTTCAACTAGAGTTCACAATATGAGAAACCCTACACAAACAACTACAACAATAACATAAGCTATGGGAATTCATCTTATCAGAATCCACTACCAAAGACTCATGAGAGAAAGATTGAAGCTATGCTTGATAAAGTTCTTGAGGGACAGCAGAAGCTCTTAGTGGACTTCAATGTTAAGACTGATTCTATCTATACCGATCTGAACAAAAAGATTGAGACTTTGGGTACTTAGGTAAAGAAGCTTGAGAAGCAGGTAGTTCAGACGAGAGTGTAGACTCTGGAACTCAGGGAGCAAGACCCTAAAGAAAGTTCAAGAAGCTATGAATAGCAAGAAGCCTTGACTAGAGATACATGAGATGAAACTATGAAACACCATGTCAATGCTATACTAAATGATGATTTTTGGCAAGTGGTTAAGCAGGAGAAGCTGCAAGGAGACGATTTCGAGGTAGAAGACTCGTTGAGTTTTGGCGGATCACACTCGTATAGATCGACGCCAACCTCCGCATATCGATCGACACACTCCGACCCGAATCGATCTATATACCTCAACACGCATCAATCGGTATCACCTGACGAGTCAACTCCAACGTGAAACGCAGTAAGGATTATGACTCACAAGGAGTTTGTAGAGACACACCCACATCCACCCAGCCCTTTCTATGCCAGAATCAATCGACATCACGAGCCAGACATCGATTTACAGAGAGAGTCCACCTTCGATCGACATGCAACTGTTACCATCAATCGACGAGCACCTCTCACATGTCGAGTGCATTTACCACCTATTGATATATCACAAATCACTCAGACCACTACTAAAACCATCAGCCAACCCACCAGATGCCATCAACAAACCTTCAGACACTACACCAGAGCCTATGGAAGTTGATAAGGCTACTACAAGAAAAAAATTGAGGAAAGGGAAGGAAACGGTTCCTAAACATCTGAAGAGGGAAACTAATGAGAAGGAGATGGATGGTTTCACTAAGAGATTCCTTAAGACCCCACTGGATAAACCTTTTGAAGAGGTTTACTTCACCTACAGATTGTGGATGTTCTTCAGACAGACTAGGGAAAGTGAGGAGGACATTAGGAGAATGTTTCATCATGTCAGGGACAAGATGAAGCGAAAGATCACACTGAGAAGAAAAGTGATCCTGGGAAGTTTGCAATACCATGCTTAGTGAAAGGTATTGAGTTCCCACATGCACTATGTCACGTAGGAACATCAGTCAACATCCTCCCAAAGGTTATGGCAGACCAGCTTCGTCTGAAAGTGGAGCCTTCACAAGAATCTTTCACCTTTGTGGATTGTTCTCAAAGGAACTCAAGAGGTATCATCAGAGACCTTGAGGTGCAGATTGGTAATACCCTAATTCCTGTAGATTTTCATGTCATGGACATCAAGTTAAATTGGAACTCTTTCCTCCTGCTTGGAAGAACATTTATGGCCACAGTAGGAGCAGTGTGTGACATGAACACCAAGTGGTTATGCCTTACACTGGTCAATCCAGACATATATTATGATCCAGTTCGAGTTGTCCAACAACAAGTAAACTTTACGGAGATAGCAGATGACCTTAGATTCATCGCCGCATGTCACTGTGGAGCTGAGTACGAAATAGAAAACTTGGAATCGATCGATACACACACTGTGTCATCGACCGATTCTATTGATCAGCTGATGACCGATGTAAAGCAAGCCACATCGATCAACATGTACCCCACACGTGGAACCCTACCAGATCACTGCTATCCAAGCTTTGCCTTTCAAGCCACCAACAAACAGGACAACTATTCCATAGACAGTTGGGCAAACAGTGGTTTCCATGAAATTTTTGCAGTAGACACTGCAATCCTTCCACACTCAGAGGATCCTAATGGGGAGTATGATGAGGAGTGTGCTAGAGAGATTCATGCTATTCTTACAAACTTCTAAACTACTCTCACATGATAAAGATTCCACAATCGATCGACAAAGACTACCCATCATCAATCGATACTCATCCTCATCTGGAAAAACGTACACACGCATCGATTAACATGAACATGTGCAAATCGATCGATACTGAGGCCACCAACTTCAAAGAAATTGAAAATTTTTCAATTCCACGTAAAACAAAAGATTGCTATAAAATGAGTCTTGCAGCCAAGAGGACTTCTCATACCACAAAAGCAGACAAAACGCAAGCACCCACAACCTTTGGGAGACAAAACATGAGAGGCACTGCTTTCAGAGATATTCATGAAGGAACCAGAAGTGTAGAAATCGACCATCCAATATCGATCT